ACCCTTCGCGGTCTCCTACCTAAACGCAAAACCACGACTAAAACCTGGGATCCTCTTAATATATTCACCAAGGATGAAGTAGTGGACAGTAAAAATAAACTCCAAGTCGCCACTACCAAGAAAACAACCAAGAGCAAAAGCACCACCAGCGCAAAAGCCAAGGCAACGAACAACGCATGGTCCCGTCCCCTCACAAGACCACCAGCAAAGACCTACACCAAGAAGCCGTTGGATAACAGTGCGAACGAGCCTATTGAACTGGGAGGGGAGGAGGGGAACTCAAAGGTGCCGAGTAGTGATAGTGATCCTGCTAGCACGATAGAGATGGGGGATGGGGTAGTGGGGAAGGCGGGGAGAAAGAAGCTGAAGGAACTGAAAAAGAAGTTCGAGCAAGTGGACGAATGGAAGTTGGAGTTTGAGATAGATAATGTGTGATCTGGGCAAGAGGTAGTGCTTGTGTTGCTGAACGATTACCTTCTTTGCGGCTTTTACTTTGTTGTTGTTGGGTGGATAGGCATGGTTTTGCTCTTTGAGTTGGAGTTTGTGCTGTGGGGTTTGCTTTACCTTGCTTTCGTGTCGCTTTTGGGGCCCTGTATCGTGGTGTTTTGCCTGTTTCCGGTTTCTGCATCCCTTGACAATAGGTCGGGGATTCGTGCGTCTAGGATCATGATGAATTCAGTTTGTACAAGTAATTATTTGTGACTGAGGTGTTACTTGTTTTGTGTCGTATCTCTGGGGCTGGATCTCAACCGGGTCCGTCGCCGGAGTGGAGATAATGAGGGGGATTCGGTTTGTCCTTTGGCAGACAAACTCGCTGGGATGACGGCGCATGTGCAGCAATCACAATCACAATCGCAATCACAATCGCAATCACGAAAGAAGCTTTTCGTCTCGGGCGGACGGCTGCGCAGAAAAGTCGCCTTGACAGCTGCTGGGGGCTAAGCTAGCAGATCTGAGATTCAACTCGACCCAACCCAACGCACAGAGTTTCCCTTCCTGTTAAAATGCAACTCGCAGAGAGAGCGAGAGGGTTGGCTGCAGGACGAACGATCTCGAGTTTCTCTTTTCCGAGCCTCCACCCGAGCACGTTATGTTGCGCCAATTACCACACAGCCAAACTACTTTCTTAGTGTTAGCGTCTCTGCCATGTGAAATACTGTAAAAAACTGGCCGAGTATATCATAAGAATAAAAGCATGCGAGAGGGCTAAGCAGAAGTATCATGGCGATGTCGTGAACTCTGCCCTCTGCTGCGTATTCGCGAGGCGGCCTTGAGTCTTTCTGCGTGTCGCCTCGTTGTGCTGTGGTTCTCTCTGCTCTATACCAGCACAGCAATAATCAACCTCCCTTCCCGCCCATCCAGATTCAGATCCAGATACATCCCCCCTTCGCTGCAAATCCGCGCCTGTCAGTCCCCGACCGCGACTGCGTCATCCATTCTCGTTCGCCCCCTCCTATCTTTCATCTCACACACGATGCCTGATACATCTCTGGCCGGTGTCCACTCCCCCCTTCCTGAGACCGTTCCCACAAAGACTCAACAGCAGCAGCAGTCATCAAATCCATCCAAGGGCCCAGTTTCCCCTTCTTCTGGAAACAGTAACAACAATGGAAACAACCACACAGCTTCTTCTACCTCGCAGCCGTCGTCGCCTAATAATAACTCGTACACTTCCCCAACAGCTGACGCGCCCGATCACAAGCCACCACTAAAGTCCAAAGTCAAAGGAAAGGATCCTTCGACCCGACCTTCGTCATCCTCGAATGAAACATCTAAGGAGCGCCCCACCACTACAGCCCTGCATCTCGAACAGTACATTCACCGCGACCAACTCCATGCCTCGGCGCTCCACTCGCAGCACTCTGCCTCCCACGAGCTGATCCGCTACACAAGACGAGAAATCGAATACTACCACCAGCTGCGGCGGGAGCGGAGTCGCAACCCAGGGGCTGTCTTTGGATATGGCTACGCCGGCTACGGAAATGGCACGACCGACGGGAATGCGCGCGTGTTATATCCGTGCCAGCGCAAACGGCCTGGCGGAAGGAAGGCACGAGAGTTGCGGTTGACACGGGCCCAGCTGCAGGACCAGGCGGACCAGGTGGAGATGCTGGTACCTGTACGGCTCGATGTAGATTTTAATCAGATCAAGCTACGCGATACATTCACGTACAATATGCACGAGCGCACAGTGCCGTTGGACTTGTTTGTAGAGCAGCTGGTCGAGGACTTCCATCTTCCGCTAAATGCGCAGCTGATTGCGATGGTGACGAACAGCGTCCGGGATCAAGTCACAGACTATCATCCGCACGTGTTTTTGGCTGACGAGCCGCTGGACCCAGTATTGCCGTATACGGCGTATAAGAATGATGATATGCGGGTGCTTATCAAGCTTAATATCACGATTGGGCAACATACGTTGGTGGATCAGTTTGAGTGGGATATCAACAACCCGTTGAACTCGCCAGAGGACTTTGCAATGCTGCTCACGAGAGAGTTGTCGCTTTCGGGTGAGTTTACGACAGCAATCGCACACTCGATTAGAGAACAATGTCAACTCTTCACCAAGGCACTGTATGTCACCAATCACCCATTCGATGGCCGGCCGATCGAAGATGAGGATGTGCGCTCCGCAATGCTGCAATCTCCAATGCCGTCTGTATTCAGACCGTACATCCTCGCAAAGGAGTTCACACCCCTCCTTTACGAACTATCTGAGAACGAGCTGGACCGCGCCGAAAAGAGTCAATCCCGTGAGCAACGCCGTCTGAAACGAAGAGTGAACCGTCGTGGGGGTCCAACGATCCCCGACCTCAAGGACATGCCTAAGACCCACCGAACACAGATCGTCTCCTCGATTCTACCAGGCGCCGTACAGAAGGTCACCGATCTTGAAAAGACCATGGTGGTGAAACAGGTTAAGGATGGTGATTCGGATGATGAAGAAAGCGAGTCTGAACCTGAAGACCTACCACCAGAGAAGACAATCCCCGGCTACAACAACATGACTCGCCGACAACGGGTTGCAGCTCTCAACGCTCAAAAGGTGAACTCACAAGCACGCTCCCAAACCCCAGAGGTCCACCACACACAGCCGCACCATGGACGGTCAGAAAGAGGCGATCGATACGCGGAACGGCTACGACACGAGACTCCGCAGCAAACACCAGTGCATCTTCCCCCACCAGTTGTCCATAACACATTACCACGGCGTGCAGGAGTCCCACTTCACCAAGACTCGGCACTATTCAAGATAAAAATTTCCGCACCCAAGTTGCAGAAATGGGTAGCGGAGCAGCAACGTCGAGACGCGGAGCAGCAACGTCGAGACGCGGCGAAGCTTAAAGAGCAGCAGCAAGAGGCAATGCAAAAGAAACAGCAAGAATTACAACAACAACAAGCGTCCATGTTACCACCAAAACCGCCGGCACAAAAGGCACCGCAAACCTCCTCTCCCCCTGTTGCTACACCCTCCCCATTGCCAGTTCATCCTCCCCCACCGCGCTCAATCCCTCCCCCCTCAGCCGAAGACATTCCTGTGAGTTCCCTCTTTCCCTCCCTCTCCATTGATCCATACACTTACACATCCCAGCAACCGCCAGAATGGCTCTCTACCGCACTTTCAAAGTTGCGGGAGACATACATGTCAGATAGATTCGAGGCAGCGATGCGAAGAGTAGCAATCGATGCTGAAACGGGCCAAAGTATCCAACAGGCTGCGCTGCCGAACCATAGCGGCGCTGTGAAGTGGAAGTGGATCCCAAGAATTAGGTGTCATGATTGTCCCGGGAAGTTGTATACTCCTGGCCCAGAGCAGACGGTCGATAGCTTCTTGGTCCATGTTAAGAACAGGGGTCATAGGTACGTTGTTTGTCGGTGGGGGGAAGGATGTAGGATGTAGGCTAATCGATGTGTAGGGAACGCGTCGACCAGCGGCTACAGAAGGATAGGGGAGGAAGCTCGTAGTGGCTTCTCAGATGAGGTTGTATTTGTACGGCAGAGTCGCACTCTCTTGAGCGAGTTCACCTTGTTAATTTTCAAATTGATCACCTCCAACGAAAAGAATGACGTCATCAAGGATTTCATTTTTCTTATGAAAGGAGGGGTAATCGGAATGCACTGGAAGAGGAGGAGGGGTGTAAACATTTGAGCTTCATTGCAGGTTGGTTGGGTTGGTTTTTGATACTTCTGCTTTTTTTCTTTCCGCACATGGGGTTCAAATCTTCGTTGTTTTTTCATTCCATATCTAAAGTTGCTGCTTCTTTAGTGATTTTGTAGGCTGCTTTTTTTTTCGTTTTCTAGGGCGGTTGGTATAGAACATGCGTGTACCTAGGTAGAATACCAGAGTGAAGTGAAAATGGATGTTGGCTTATGAAGATATTGTGTGGTTTATGTTTCTATACCAAGAATCCCCTTGGTGATACTCAGGCAAGATGGCATATATCTGACATATAACGGGTGATTGCGTGTGCCAAAGCTGGGACTGGTCATGAGGTGGGAAACAGATCGAATCCTCACTCGAACATTGGATTCTGCTGTTTCACAGCTCTCAAATCTGCATTTTCTTCAATGGGAATTTAGCGATTTGCCGCTCGCTCAGCATAGGCTCGAACTCTAGGAAGCACACACTCCAAGACTACGGTGGAAATGGGGGCAAGGAGAGAGGGAGCACACAACCTGGATCCAAGAGGACCAAGGGGACACCCAAGGCTCACACTGGTGATGTGTGGAGGAAAAGGAGTAGAGTATGTCATGGCCGCAAGCGGCCGAATACATTATGATTCAAACAAACAAACTCCAAGACTACAGGTACGCAGCAAATGGTGACAAGAATACAATGGTCTTTCCAGTACACGCCTTCATCAATAAGACCTGCTCTCAAGCCTCCCCCTCTAGTCTGAAATCAAAACACAGCCTCAAAACATAAGGTGCAATATTCAAAGAGGTCAAAGAACATCCAGCACAAAAAGTCAACCAGTAGGAGTATGACAAGAAAAATATGCTCAAGACCGGATTTGAACCGGTGGTCTTCGCATTGCACATTAATACGAGTGCGACGCCTTACCGCTTGGCCACTCGAGCATTGGATGTATCTCTACTGCTTGAAGAAATCTTGTAGTATATTTGGAGCCTATACTTGCCCGAACTTGATGATTAGCCGCAGTATTATGGTCGCTGCTGCTTCACTGCTTCCTCCCCTTTGGTATATTTCATTCCTTCGGTTCTTGGAAGTTGAATATCTCGTAAGAATGGCCTTGCATTTACATGATCTTTGAGTGTGTTGAGGATCAAGTGAATGCAAATGCTTTGACAGGACCATTGCCCTTGGTTGAATCCATACGCTTTCGCCAACATATAACTTTGTGGCCAAAGTCTTCCTCCCGAGAGAACTTATCAAAGCATATCGCGATACTGCATCAAGAGATATCCAAGGATACACGCTACCTTACTCTTCTGATATCTCGCAGCTGATCTGCAGGTTTGCAGACTGATCAGATAAAGTCCGCTATGGTGAAGGTCTCTATGGCAGAGACGGCACTGATCGTGAGCATATCTGATTAGACTGGCCAGTTCGGAACCCTTCTGTATCAGATGTTCTACTCGAAAGAAGTGTGTATCTTCCTTGAGCGTATCCATGGCCGAGTTGATGGACGAAATGGCTGGCAATGAACGTACCAAAGAACTTTACTTACAGTCCAGTCGTTCCTCTGAACGTAGCTCGGCTAGGAATAAGGTTCGGACCTTCCCTTCTCGCCGATATAGAGCAACCTACCTGCTGAAGATGGTAACGGAACCTTTTTTTGTGAAAGCCAAGTTGCTATAAATATAGGAAAGGGGGGACAAACGGCCTGGCAGATTGTTAAAAAAGCCATGGATGGTTATCAATGGCGTGGCCTGGCAGATTGGCAAAGATACAATCTGCCACATGTTGCTCATTCAAACCTCTCCTCGCACAGACATGATCACGGCGTCGGTTGGGTTGCTGCTGGGAGTCGGACTTCAGAGTCAAAGGTAGCGGTGGACCATTTCTGAGTTACATAAGTATATATAGATACTAAGTATATTTAACCTAAAATAAACTCCAGCCATCGCTCAAAGTCTTTTAAATATTTAAGTACCTATGTATACCAGGCTTCAAGAAAAACAGAAAACATTAACTATAGAGCGCAGTAAGTTAATTACGCACTTCAGTATTTTCCTCAGGTACACATGCATGCATAACTGCGCTTGCAGCTAAAAGGTGGTAACGGTGAGAGACTTCCATATCTTGGACTTGCTTGCATGCACCCTTATTGTAAACCCCTTATATATGTGTGCGTAAGCCACCCGGTTCATTCACAAGGCTGGTGGTAGTGGTGAAAGATGACGAAACCTGATCGGCTAAACGCGTGGCGATGAATACCCTCGAACTCGATGAATGTAGATTTCGTCACGGCAAAGAAGAAGTGTTCGAAGAGAGAGGATGAACCAAGAAACCCAAATCTAAGAGTAGTGATATCTAAGAAGTCACGTCTAAAACAGGCAAGAAAAGCAAAGTCTATCGCCGAACCCGCCAAGCCATTCCTTACTAAGCCATCATGCCGTCTTTCTTCCTTCTTAGTGGCAGCGGCGGCGGCGATAGCGGTAGTAGTTGATGGCGGCGATGGCGGCCACACTGCAGGAACATTGTCAGGGCAAGGAATATTCCGATCCCATGAAAAATATTCTAATTTTCATTTACAATTTCTGGTAATAATCGTATTTGTATGTTGCATATAATTACATTATTATTACATCATAATCTCTGCCCATAAGGTTGAACCCCTATAGGTGATGTATGATAGGAGAGACACGACAAATCCATTTCATGCCGAAACTCCGACGATATCTTCGGTTATCCTAAGTGATGCAATGGTTGCGATTGCGTACCGGCAGTGTATTCCGCAGGAGATACGACTATCAATGATAAGTTAGTCATGAGACCGAGTAAGAAGGCACCGATCTGCATATCCATCAAGGTCAGTGTCTTGATTTGAAAGTGGTAGTTGCAATCGTTAGTATGAGGACCTGGGGAAGCCATGGGGCATAGACACATCTTTAGCTATCCTGCAAAGTTAGCTGTCGTGTAAGAATTAGTCTTGTAAATCACAAAGCATTGAGGACTGAGAAGTTTTATATCGACCATCACTAAATATACGAATAGTGTAGGTACAATAATAAGTATCCATAGCCACAAAACAAACACCACCGCAAAGTATAATTCTTTCCCATCTAGCAACAACCCATCCCACAGCTCAAACACCGAAAACAATATCGCCTCCATATATACCAGCCACAAAAGAAAAGCACCGGAAAAAACAACACAAGACTCCTATAAACAATGTAACGACACAACCCACACCCGCTATCACGACGCCCTAGCAGCCGGGCCACAATTCGGTTTTGGTTTATCAACCTTAAGCACCCAGAGGAAGAGATCCTCAATGGGTACAAAAACCATAAAGATGCGATTACAAACCAGCGAAATAGATGCTGTAAAGATAGCTCCCACAACATCGAGCCAGTAATGGTTCGCTGTCGCGACGATGATGGTGAGTACACTTAGTGGGTAAAAGAAACCAAAAAAGCACAAAGCCCACTTCCATAGCTCTGAGCATCTATTATCATATCCACATCCCATCCACCTGAAAGCTCCCCCATGGTTCATACAAGCCACCCCGATGATGAATGCGTATCCAAAGTGCATACTCGGCATCGCCGCGAGATGGTTTACAAACTTGCCCGACATCCAAACGCTTTCTGCATCGTCTCTGCGCACCGTATCGATGAAGCCAAATTCCTTAGGCAACAAGCGTGGCGGCATGCATGGGTAGGCTGTAAATATGACAAAGGCTAGGAGGTTGCACAACGTCATAGTTCTTCGCACAACAGCGAAAGTAGCATGGTTAGGGGCGGCATAGTAGTACCATGCCATAAAATACACCGTCCCCGGAATATGAATCAGCGCATATGCCTTATTTAAAACCGTCAACAGCTCAGGATGCACCCTCAAAAACCACTTCTGCACTTCAATCTCCTGGATCGGAAAAAATAAACTGAAGCCTGAAAACTGCTCAACCATCAAGACCCTAAACGCATTCTCCTGGGCAAGATCCCATATGTCATCCGAAAACAATGCCTGGGAGAGGATGTGGGTAAGCCGGTAGATGAAGTATGTGATGATCCAGTAAAACATCTCAATCAGGAACGGAAATTTGTGTAGTAGCCGTGAATGCCAGCTATTTTGAAACCGCGACGTATTTGGCGTGAGGACTATTGCTCCAAGGCATGACCGGCGTTTCGGTGGATTCTTGATGGTAGAGATGTAGTAATTGGGGTCTGTATCTTCGTCCTCGTATCGGGTGGAGGATTCGTCCCCAGCATGTGCGTCCTCATCGAGCAGTGACTTGTATGTTGTCTGTTTACTGAAGATGGTGGAGTTACGTCGACGAGTGTAGTAGCAGGCTCCAAACAAGATGCTGGCAACGATGACAGGTTCAGCCCAGCTAGGGAGCTTCCATGCCGGATCGCTGACCCATTCTGGAGGTGCTGTTGCGAGAGGTGTAGGCGAAACAGTTGCCGTCGGGGGTGGGAGAACCATTGAAATATGATTATAGATTAATCCGAGGCCCCGTTAGGCGGGGTGCTTGCAGCCAGCTCTGTATTATGTTGGTACGATGTTGAGGTGACGGAGTGAAATCTATCTTTCCCAACTACAGCTTCAGTTAAAATGAAGGATGAATTAAATACTGAAATAGCAGAGTAACTTCGTACAGTAGTTAGGCTTTATGGAAAGTCTACCCCAGTTCGCAGCAAGCAGCAAACAAGCATGAAAAAAGCTAAACTGAAAGGGATGGAACTCGTGGCCGCTGTGAGGATGTGTCGCGTGCCTTTCTAACTAGCTAATACCAGCGGTGATGTTTTGATGTTGAATTGAAACGAAAGTCCTGAAAGAAAGTCCACAACGCAACAAAATCGACGTCTGACTGTGATAGAGTGGGTAGGGTGGAATTGACAGTAAAGGTAGAGTGGAATTGACAGTAAAGGTAGGGGAGGATGTATTCTGAGAAGGGGGTGGTCTCAAACAAGATCGGCGGGAGAATTACCACCCGCCAAGAGTGGTCATTTATTTGCATATTTCCAGATTGGTAGCTCAACCCTCCCGTCTGTGCTTTTCGGCGGCCTTCCGCAGCTCCCAAGACATCTCCCTGCCTTCAGGAAATAATTATTAGAGATTGTCTCGATGTTTTAGATGGTAGCTTCTCGGCTTCCCTCCGTTCCGATATTCTATACGAAGATAGTGCCCAAATAGGCAATTTTGATAAGAGACCCCGCAAGCTGAAGAATCTTGAAGATTCAGACACTCATCTAGAATACTTGGCAGACTCGGTTGTGGCGCATCCAAGACGGCAAATTGATTCGGTAACAGACGGATTGTGGGCTTGAGCAACACCGTTACCAATACCCATGCGTATATAAACGATTACCGTAATAAACTCAAATCTGAGAGGCGATTTCTCTCGTCCGTGAAATATGCAGCAATCGAAACATCATAGAGCTCCATCCGTGAAACACAATAAGATAATCAACCAATGGGGTCTTGAGGTCGTCGTTCGGACTTGTCCAATGCAACCTAAAAGTTAATGTCGGGGTCTGGAACTACCCTATTCCGATGGAACGCTGAGTGTATTGTCCGAATGCATTGGTGATCTTGAATTCGGCTTACCTGTTGTGCCACCGTCAGTCACTCGGCGTGAAATGGTGAAAAATAAGAATCTCAATTGCTGGAGTAACTGGCCATCCGGTGGTGAGCAGAACCCTCCGTCCAATGATGAATCTTCTGTAGATTGTTGACGACTCTACAGCGTTTGCCCAATCTTGGCATTCGTCAGCGCCAACTCAGCGATATTCGTCATCGGGTGGTCGATTACTACACGAAGGGAAAAAGAACATTGGGATTGCATGGCCAAGAGGGTACGCATAATAAAGTTAATCTGCACTTCGGCTGAGTATCCTAATGAATAGGCTGTTTCGGTTGTTTGACTCTATGGGGTCAATCGCCG